CCTGACAATCTTTTCTTCCTGCGACTGCATTAAGAGATTACAATGTCATCAATAAGCTAAAATAGTCTCTTCACTCCCCTCATTTATTAACTCTACCATCCTTCTTTCTGTAAACTTTCATCCCCTCTCTGCTCTACATCCTCCTCCTCCTACCAACCACACAGGCCATGTAAGATTGCCAAGACGTGCTGCACAGAGCTCAGACACCCACAGAAATCCAGGCCCTGGGTACCAGCAGCAAGTCACCAGCTTGTCTACAGGACGCAGGCTTAACAACAACAAATCCACTGTCTGCAGCACTGCCCCAGCCTGCTGCAACCACAAGGTTTAGCCCCTGTGCCCAGCCCCCATTCCCAGTCTCCTGCCCCAGTGCTGCTGCTACTGACATTCCCAGAACAGTGCCATATATGTAGATGTATGGACACCCAATAGGACCTCATCTTGCCCTCTGTTTTGTGTGGATAGAGGTGAGGCGACACCAGGAAGATGTACAAAGCATGTCAAAATACTAGGGTTTAAAATATACCTAGATAACCCACTGCAGTTCCCGAAATGTTGAAGCTTCACAGCTCATGCCAAGAGGGTCCCTCAAACGCAATAGATTTTGACTTCCTCTTGGTCTGTCCATTATCCTCTGTGCAATATAAGATTGATGTGGCCTAATAACAACTGGTTTGGGGTTTTTTAAAATAAATTCCAGGGGAAAACGTAAATTAGTTGTTCATTAAAAACTATGATCTGGAGTGCAAGTAGAAACGATCCATTTCAGTTTGGAATGCTCTTCTCTTGACCGGATATCCTTAAAAAATATGGAAACAAAGAGCTATAGTAAAATCGTGTTAAGAGTTGTCTGAAATTCAAAAGCACAAGGAAGTTTCAAGTTAAAGGCAATTTACAAAAGGTATCTCTTTGAAAGGGGTTAATCCTGCAGTTATTACCTAGCTGCTCTATGCTGCAAGAGCCAGAGGAAAGTTCTGTACAAAAATTGTAGATGTACTTATTTTTTCCTTTGGAGATGCATTGTTTCCCAAATACATTCTTGCTTCAGCTCTGATCTGGCGTTCCAGATTGATGTGTGTTGAACCAACAAAGATACCGGAAAGCAATGCTTGATTATGTGTCTTCTGGTTTATTGCAGACTAGACAGTAATTTCCTTTATTTCTCCCATCTTTAAGCTTACCTTCCTTTGCAAAGCAGTTAGAGAACCTCATCTGATAGGACAGGCTGATAGGCAAAGAGCTGGCATTTGATTAAGTTGTGGTTTTTATTAACTATATAGGGATACTATAGCAATAAAAGGTCTGAACAGGTGAGGAATGGAAGATGCTCCAGGATTAGCAACATGGTACTCCTAACTCTGCTTCCCACTATCACTGTCACCTTGGGAAAGGCATTTAAGATTTTATCAGATTTTAATCTGGCTGATTTTGAACTGAAATGGATGACACACATTCACAAAATCCATCAGAGTGTCTCCACTGTAAAGGCTTTGGGGTAGTAATGGACAGCAGAGCTGGTAACTACTTCAACTGTTCCAGCTTGATCTGGGAAAAAAATTGGTTCTTCCCCAAAGCTCCACTGTCCTAAACTGGTTTCTATATGTGGACAGACTTCAAGAGATGATGCAGCCTGCCTGACTTTTGGAAAACTAAAAGGTGACTTTTGATTGATCAGCCAAATTCTCCTCTGCCCCCTTTGGTTTGGGACAGCGAGCACATACGTGAAGGCTTGCAAACCAAATCGCTGAAGATTGCATTTATATTAACTTATAGTAAAGCTGCAGCCTCATCTCATAGTGTCCTGAGCTCCTTCCTGGTAAAAGATTCAGTTCAGAGAGGCAGCAACTATTCCTGTAACCATGCTGTTGAGGATCAGGGTTGACTGACCAGATCTTTTTTTTTTTTTCCTCATCAGTATCATAGATACGTGTGATAGACAAATATCCCCAGCCACAATCCTTTTGCTTTCCATTGAGCATAAAGCCTCCCTTTGCTCTTGAAGATGCCATGCCTCCCTCCCCCATCAAAGGGGGGGGGGGGCTGCACTTTGGTCCATCAGACAACATGCAGCAAAGCAAAGTCCATGGGAACACGCGGGAATAGTTTGCCAAGCAGCAGGTCCAAGCTGGTGTGTGGCCTTTAGTCAGGGTTAAGTAAACAGCGTGTAAATAAATAAATAATTTGCTCCCAGGTTGTGACCCTGTAAATCAAGTCTGAGCCTGGAAGGGATTTTTATGGTCCAGCTGGAACAACGGAGCAGCCTTAGCAGAATAAATATATATGGGGAAAAAAATAACTGTTCCTTCCAGTTGCTCCCAGACTGCTGTGGGGAATGCTTGGTGCTGCTGTAAGACATGCTGGTGATTAAAAAGAGGGAGAGAGGAGAACTGGCTCTCTTTTACCCAACAGCTGTTTTATATTATTCTAAGAGGTTTAAAAGAGGAGTAAAAACATTTAAATTCACCCAAGAGTAATCTTCTAGTTTCAGAGCTGAGCAAAGGGCTGAGCAAGTAAATGAGAGCGCCGACCGGCTATTTTAGCCCGTTAATAGCAGCGCTTTTCGTGGAAGTAGGTAAGAGCAGGTTCGTGTGGAACCTGTTATGTGGGCGTTATAGCCCTGGGCTACCGCATCTACATTATTCATCATTAACAAATAACAATCCTAAAAATTACAGCAATCTGTAGCTTTAGCGGTGTTTGACCAGACCGGGTAAAAGTTATTAGTCGCATTTTAACAAGTCCAGGGGGACCTGTTCAAAGCAGCAGAGAAAAAGCAGAAACAGAAGCCGAGTCTCCCAGCTGCCAGCCCGGCGGGTGACACGGGGGGCTGGAGCTGGCGGCTCCGCCGCGGCCGGCATAGACAGCACTTGCCGCGCAGAGATACGCGGGGCTTGA